CTAACGTCATAGTCCACTAGACCAGCAGACCCAAAAGTGGGTAGCTTAGCCGTTTTCAGAAGGTCGCAAAAGTGCCTGGGGAAAATGTGTGCCTCTTTGTTCCGTCACACGTTTTGTACCATCTGAGGTCCAAACTGCACCTTTTTTATTAGACAAATCTCATTGGTTGAAAAAATATCAGAAATTTGGGTTGAAGTTTTCTCATTTACGGAGTAATGAGTCCTGAAGCTAGACCAGTTGAGAAACAGCGTTCTGTTTTGTACTCGTGTTGTTTCTATAATTCCATAAACTGGTCTCCTTTTTCAATATTCCACTCGGCTTGGTGCACAGTCGTGTTTGTGAGCTGTAAAAGCATGCAACATCCGGTTGGTGACACTTCCCGGTCGGCTCGCTCTCATTGGCTATTGCTGGTATTCAGTCAGAGGCAGCTCGATCTGGAATCGTAAATTTTAAACATATTTGGTGAGGCTGCGACTTTTTTGGAGCAGTAAAATGATCGCATTGACACCGCACACTTAATCCGCACAGGATTATTTGGACAAATAATCGCTAAGCCTTGAATCAGGCCACGCCCCCTCCGCCCAAAATCAGGCCTTGAATCTTCTAGTGTGTAGCCAGCTTTAGAGAACGTAGGAGACACTTGCATCAAACTATGCAGCCTGTCTTGCTTTTCTGGTGGTTTTAAAGCCTTTATGAAAATGTAAGACTTTGGCGACTATTAGTGGACATCTTAAAAATTACAGTTTGTCCCCGCTGTATCCAGCAATCATACCAAAACACAAAGACCATGTGTCAATTTGTCTACAGTGTTTTCCGTTTTGTGTCAACTGACATTTCAAAACTTAAAATATTCTTGTTCAAATGATTTAAGACGGAGAAAAGAAGCAAATTCGTATATTAGAATATTTTGAATTGAATTTGTTTTTTACAGTGTAACGAGCAGTTAAACACGTTTAAAAGTCATTATTTGCATTAGTGTCTTCAGGGAAATGTAAAAACTTAAGTGTCTGTATTTACTGAGCAGTTAAGCCTTACAGTCTGTTAATATTACAAAATGTTGTTCTTTATATGGTGGCAAATATTTCTCTTCAGTATGAATGTCCTAAAACTAGCTTGTGTGCAACATTTGATGTAGCATTAAATCACAAATTAACCACAGTGGTTAGCACATTTTCTTTCTTTGCTTAAAAAGCTAAAGCTATGCTAACACAACCTGTACTACTGTTTGGTTTCTATCACAGTTAATTCAGCTTTTTCCAAAATGTCTCTCAACTTTAGCTTTCCTAGCGGCTAATGTAGCTAAAGCTAAATACTAACAAAACAATGATGTAAAATTTGAGATTTTAACAGCACTTTTACCTTACAGGTGTTCGTTGTTTTCGTTGTCAATCAGCTAAGGGGATAAAAAAAGAGCTAATTGTTACGTGATGTGTTCATATTGTAATTTCCCTTCTTAACTTCTTTAAGCCTAGCTAATTGGCTAAAACTAAACTAGCCAGACAACAGAAGAAAGTGCTGAGAAGTTTTTGTTTTCTAGCTTTCAGTTTTAATTTTCACAGAGCTCAAAGGTGACAAAAAACAACTGATTGGTTCACAGAAAAAAAAACAGGTTTTGCCTTTTAAAGGAAGAGTGTGCGACATTTACCAATAAATACAGCAGAAATCAAGTAAATGAGTGAGAAGCGAGAGTCCTGCTGACTGTGTTGTTGTCGGAGCTTGTTTACATGGACGGGATGGCCTTGCGTATTAAGCTGTTTTAGTCGAGGACTAGAGAAAAGAATAAGAACATACTCACTGCTTATTTTAATATCACGTAAGCGTTTTTACATCATGGTCGTTCTTTGTCAATTTATATGCAAAGTGAAGCTACTAGCTAACTAAGGTGTGCTAACATTAGCCTGCTAACACAACACTACAGGCCACAGGCAATTGTGGCTCAAGCTAAGGACAATTTTATGCAAGCGCGAAGATAGCGGAGGCTTCAGAATGGCGGACGTGTCGCCAAACAGAAGTTTGTTTTGGTTTAGTGCTGGCATCTACTGGATCAAAAAGTTGCACATTCTTCCTTTAAATTAAAAATAATTGCTCTCAAATTGTCAGTCTGGTTAAAATGAGCCTTCTGGTGTTGAAATGTGATGTGTTGTTTTCCTTTAAGTCCCACCATTCATCAACATCAGTGTGATTTTTGTTGTCATTTTTACAAATGTAAAGTCTGACACTGGATTAGGCTAAAGAGCAGCTATGGAGTTTTTAAAGTGTGTCTGTAACTTTGTTTTTTTGTCTGTTTCTCACAGGAAATGAGTGTACTAATAGTCGGCCCTAAGTATGGAAGCCCTTAGAGGACATTCCTCCATGCGTTTAATTTAACTCCATTTTCCAGTAAGGAGTACTTTTCGATTGGTTACTCGAGGTCTCAACTTAATTATCTTGTTTACTCCGGATAATCAACGCTGGTCGTCCCGTGATAGCTTGTTGAATTTAGTTTTCTCTAAATCTCAAGACATAAACTCATCCTCGAGGGAAAATCAGGATTTTCTCAGGATAACGACAATAAATGGTTTGAGATCTTGAGAAAACGAATGGAAATAATTCCTTATTGCAGTAAAACAGAGTAAAATAAAATGCATCCGCCTTCAGCGTAAAAGAGCACTGTGTCCTATAATACTGACACACGCACTGCCATGACCACTAGTGCAGCTGCCACAGTCACATATTAAAGAAGACCGGACACTATTAAGAATTGGGCCCTATTCATTGTGTATTTAAAAAAGAAACTGCACGATTTGGACTTTATTCAACACTGTGGAAATCATCACGCAGGAAGACCGTTTAAACTTTTTTCTTTTTCTGGAAGTCGCCCAAAAACTCCGTCCTTAATTACCAGTGCCACTTATAATCTGGATGTTATGGTTTGTCTGCTTAGGGCTTCCGTACCTAAGGTTGTAACACCAGCATTTGTCGCATTCAAATCCCATCATCTCTCCTTTTGTAAGGAAATTTCTTAAAATGTACATCCTGACCATTAACACCCATTAAAATGAAGAGTTCTTTTAATGAGTAGATGAGAAGATAGACTTCTTCTAACCGCCATTGGCACATCGAAACATCTGAGACATTGGTTTGTTTTCTTCTCAAGTCCACACAATTCTTCATCACTTTGTTTTTAAAAACACAGTGTTGGTAAATCTTTGTCACTGTTCAGATTCTGCCACACAAAGCTATTTTGTTGCCAAATGTTTTTGTTATACAAAAAGTTCTAAATGTTTTTTTTTTTTTTTTCAGTATTGATGCCAGTTGATTACGCCATGTTGCCTCATTCAGACTTTTGTAGTTTTAATGTCTTTGATTCAGCTCTTAATCCTCATCATGTAGTTGTAGTTGATCAGGTTTTATTTTGGTCCTGTTTTAAAACCTGTGAGCATTTCTCTTTGTTGTGTTTTTTCGGATGTAAGGGTTTTATAAAATGGTGTCATTGTACGACTGGTGTAATATTTTTAACTGAAATAATATCTGTTGTAATTATGTGATTTTGATTTTTTATTTAAGTAAAATCAAATGTCAAACCTCAACAGTCTCCTGGTGTTAATTCAGTGCAGTACGCGCTTCGTCCTGTTGGTGTTTGCTTAGATTTTATTCCCTCAGTGGTTTGAGGAGGAACAGTTTTCTATGGAGCCCCTGAAGTCCAACTATCCTTCCATTAAATAAAACGCTTTTCCCATTCGGGGTCGTGTTGGGCTGGAGTTGATCCCAGCTGTCATTGGGCGAGAGGCGGGGTTACACTGTTAGCTACTCAATCACAGGGCTGACATATCGAGACAGACAACCAGCCACACTGACATTCACAGCTACAGGCAATTTAGAGTCACCAGTTAACCTAACAAGCATGTCTTTGGACTGTGGGAGGAAGCCGGAGTACCCGGAGAGAACCCACGCATGCACGGGGAGAACATGCCAACGCCACACAGAGAGGCTCCTGTCAGACGGGGATTACTTACAAGGAACCTCCTCACTGTGAGGCAACAGGACTAACCACTGCACCACCGTGCAGCCCACCTTTTGTCCGCACTAGATTAGTGTTTAACTTATTAAGAAACAGTACCATTATTTTGTGCGTACAAGATATGATATTTTGTTTTACTTTTTGGGACTACACGCTCTACCAATGAAAGGCGTCTGATCCAACCTTCACAACAGGGTCCTAAGTCTGTAAGTAGACTCTCCTCCTCTGTGGCCCCCCGGTGGTGGAGCAAACTACCAAACTCCATTCAATCTGCTTTGTGCCTTTAAGAAAAAGCTAAAGACCCAGCTCTTATGAACACCTACGACCTTAATGAAATTATTGACGATAATGATGATGACGATGGTTTTGTTTGATAATGGCGATTATAGGACGGTTTTGAGGCTGATTAGAACGCTCAACAACAGCTGACGGTGTTGTGCTTTGCCTCTGTGCATTTCCAGTCATCACCTGTGTGTCTGATCAGACTTAAAGGCTGAGTAAGTGGAGTCGGTCGTCTCTTAACTGGAAGGTTGGGGTTTGATCCCCAGCTCCTGCAGCCACATGTCCTGTGTGTCCTCGGGCAAGTCCTGGGGCACTTAACCCCGAGTTGCTCCCACTGCTTCAGTGGTGTATGATTATGTATAAACGGGATTTGTTACTACTGATAAAGCGTCTGCTAAATGTATTGTAGAATTGTACAGGAGCTCCGTAGTTTTCTTATTTTACAAAAAAAAACAGACGTAAAGTTCTGGTCTGGAGCGGTACGCCATCAAAAAGTTTGCTGAAGCCTTCGAGGCTTTGCCTCGTGCGCTGGCTGAGAACTCTGGAGTGAAGGGGAGCGAACTCATCTCTAAACTTTACTCCCCACATCATGAGGGAAACAAAAATATGGGAACTTTAAAAAGTTCTGCTTAATATTTGATACACTTAGTCATCATAACCCTAACTGCTCATATAAACTGATATCATTAAGAACTCATTCATCCACACATCAAAAGACTTCTTTTATTTACGTAATTCTTTTTTATTTAAAGGAAGTTCAAAGTTTCAGTCATAATGTTTTAGAGTCTTCGGTATCAGCTGGGAGGGTTTTATTGTCGCTGACGGATCATTTCACCTGCAGTTTCCCTCTGTTCATTTCTAGTTTCACACAGTGTGATTAATGCAGATATTTATCAACATTTTTTTATTTTAAATCCCTTAAACTAAATGTCTGCAATACTAGCAATGGCCACTAGGGCTCTAACAATATCTGCACTCCATTTCTTTGTGTCCACTAGTGTTTAAGTCAAGACCACACTAACTGAGACCAAGGCAGGGCGAGACTGGGACAAGACCTAGACCAACCGAACTACAAATTAACTAGTTATTTGTTCCTTATGAAATGGGTGTTTTCCTTCTTCACAGTAATGACATGAGAAAATAGCCTGTCAGTGGTGGTCTTGACTGGTCTTGATTTAAAATCTGGAGTCCGCCCAGTCTGAGTAAAAATGCGTGAGATGACAGGACGAGACCCAAACCTTAAAAAATGGTCACGAGACCGGCCTTGGTCTTGAGTACTACAACACTAGTTTCCTCTACATTCATCTCAGCAGCATCAACTTTTAAAAAACATGGACATTATACTCTTTTTATAAAGATTTTACAATACATTCATTTTTAAGTATTTACATAAAGAATAAAAGCTGTAAATGATTCACTCGAGATCAGAACTGTCATGCACAGAAGAAAGGATAAAATTGAACTGAGATTAATATAGACTTTTTCTTATCTTTTTTGAGGCATGTTCAGTCCTGCATGGGTTTGTGTTAGCGGACTTCAGTCAAAGAGTGATATCATATAAAGGACTGCCTGCTGATCAACAAGATTTACATTTTATTATAGGTGGTTCCAGCTGTGTGCTCTCGTGTCCCATTAAGTGCCTATTTCACAGATCATAAGTCACCCTCTCTCCCTCCTCTGAGTCCTCTGCTGGATCCTCGATCCTCACACCAAGTCCACTGTCAAGATCTGCATCGTTGAAGACTGCTCTTGGGGTCATGCCGAGGTTGTCATCGTCGTCGTTCTCTTCTCTGCTGCTGGATGACTGTTCTTCCTCTTCTTCGTCCTCGCTGTCGTCCTCTCTGCTGTCTGGGATAATGACCACCTCCTCTTTGGCGTCTGGATCAATGTCCTCCTTAAACCAGACTGATTTGTACCCGTCATCCATGCGTTTCTCTCTGGTCAGGATGGGCTTCATCTCCTTATCATTGTCGTCCTTGTCTGACTCTTCCTGGATGGCATCGTCACCCAGTAGGGCATGGAGCGGCACTGTGGACTTCACAATGGCTTCTTCAAGCATAAAGTCCCCAGACGCTTTCTGTGGCTCTTCGCCCGCCATCTTCTTTCCCACCTCTGGGCTGTCTCTGTCTTCATCGTTCATGAAGGCGTCATTGGTGTACTGCATACCTTCCTTTGGACCGCCTGAACCTTGACCCATCTGGAGAAGAACAACAAATCCAGGAAAAGAAAAAAGACCTGTTGAAGTTCTGCAGTTAAAAACTACAATTTCTATTCGCTATGAATCGCTAAATTTCAATAGTTAATTTAGATTTATCACATTTTTAATTACATGTTTAAAAAGCCATTATTTTGGATTTTAAAATAAAAATTGTTTAGCTTTTATTGTAATTTTAGTAGCTAAGTTGATGGAACTTTACTTGCTGTTTGTAATAAAGTAAGGACATCCTGGTAAATTGTAGGTTACGAAATTAACTTGTTACGGATTAAAAAGTCAAAGGAACGGTAACAAAGGTCAATGTGTGATGTCATAAGGTGGATATTACTTTGGACTCGTCAGCTGAGCTGTCTGAGAGTTTGTTAAAGTGAAATGAGACATTCAAAGACGCAGCAGTGTCCTTTTACATCACTGTGACTACAGGGAGACACTGAGGACGACTATCTACGGTGAATCGTACAAAATAGCATGCAATTAGTCCAGATTAAAAAAAACAGTATTGCATTAATTTCAGACCTTAATTAACTGCAATTAACTAGTTAATGCTGACAGCCATAATTTAAGAATATGGTCATAAATAGGAGATTTCAAAGAGTTTTTAAATTTATATGAGGAACCAAATAAATTTTAGTTTATCTGAAAGACAATTATTCTCCCCCAGATTTGGAAGCGGACAAGAGAACTGGTTCAGATAGAAGTGATTGTACCCGACCTAAAAAGCCTCTGCATGTTTCTAATAAGCTCCACGAGCAGAACCGTGCTCAAACTAGGATCAATATTGGAGATGCTTTTGAAAAATGGAGAGAGGTTAGAACACAGAAAGGTTTACAGACCGATGCAGAGCTGGCTAAACACTGAAGCTTCAGTGTCCACCACATGGCAACCTGTGTGCACATCGACTCTAGAGAGGGGGGGAGACAGCTCTCTACAATGTTTTGAATTTGGACTGCCGTACCCATTTTAAACACTAGGTGTCAGAGTTACACATTGCTCCTTTAAGTGAAATGATAAACCCAATAATTGTAGCTCAGAGTCAGGGATGATTCTTGTAAAGCATATTAACAACTTTATGGACTTACTGTGCTTCGGAATGTGCTGGTTTCATGGATCTTTTTCCAGTCTGTTTTTTCCCTCTGGATGCGAAGGGCAAATACCACGATGACAACCAGACAGATGAACAGAAGGACACCCAGCGTTGCACCAAGCGCTGCCATGTCTGCTGGCCCATAGCCACCAGACGGTATGATCACTGTGGGGGGAAAAGGTCACTTCATTAAATTCCCCCAATAGATATCTTACTTTGCAACCACAAGGTTTATGATTCTAAAATTTGTGTTAATCATTTAAATAATATAGCTATTACGGTCTATTGGTGCCTTCAAATGGGTCGTGTTTACAAAGGAGACCATATGAACGCCCGCCCTCTTACGCTATTCCCAACATCATGCCCAAGTCAAATTTTCCGGAAAACTTTGAGTTCAGGAGTTGTGACGTTTGTTTTTCAGAAATGGCGGAGCCCATGATGTTAGCCACCCAATGTAGTTTTCAGACGTGAAAGGGACCAAAAGGATCTATGGCACCTTTCTCATGGTCCTCTGCGTGGTGTTTTAACACAAATAATGTAATATTAGCATTTCCATTTTAAAAGCAAGGAGGAGAATGAGCAATGTTTTAGCATCCATGTTGCCGTTGCCTAGCAAGAGCTTCACTTGAACGTCAAGCCTTTCCAGTTCACGACTTCATGCCACAATTCCACAACTTTGAGTTCCATTTGAAGGCTACATATGGTTAGAGTTGAATGAAAGGAAAAAAAAAAAAAGAAAAGAAGGGAAGGGAAGGATAGGCTGGAATGTTCAAACTTCAGGCCAATTAGCGTCTTAAACCAGGACTACAAACTCTTCGCCTCTATTCTAGCCAAGAGACTAGAAACAATTCTCCCAGACATCATCAACTTAGATCAGACGGGATTTATTAGACAGAGACAAACCCGGGACAGTATCAGACATACACTGCAATATAGAAGCTCTAATACTAGGATTAGATGCCAAAAAGGCATTTGACTCTGTAGACTGGTCTTTCTTGTATAGAGTGTTGTTCAGATTCAATTTCCATGAAAAGTTTATTAAGACAATTAAAGCATTATATGACAGACCAACAGCAAAGATAAGAATTAATGTTCCCTATCAAACCACTTTGCATTACGAGGTTGCAGGCAAGGCCTCTGTCCCCACTTTTATTTACGATCTTCATTGCACCTTTAAGTCAATGGATCAGACTAAATGAGAAAATACACGGAATCAGGATGAGCCAGGGAGAACAAAAAATTGCGTTATTTGCGGATGATATTTTAATTTATTTAAGGCACCCTAATACCTCCTTCCCCGAATTAATCTCATCCCTCACAGATTATGGTCCTTATCTGGTTATAAACTAAATACTCACAAATCTCAAGTTTTGACTTTTAACTACATCCCTAATCAATCTATTAAAGAGACATTTAAAATAAACTGGGACCCTGAAGCGATGAGATACTTGGGTGTGAACATCCCAAAAAACTTGGAAAAACTTTTACCATTGAATTATGACCCCTTAATATCTAAAATTAAATCGGGCCTGTCGAGGTGGGGTCAAAGAAGGCAAAGAAGCCTCGGATAAGGTTCAAGACCCTTCAGTTACCTTACTCCAAATTCACACATACTACGTGCGTGCCACAGTTTTGCTCAGTCGGACGGCTCGCGCCCATTCACACTAGATCTGTTTCTGGGACGTCAGCGCAGCGGAGCGCACCCATGACACATCACAGGAGAACTACAAGATCCCGTGGGAATTAAGAGAAAAACATGCAAACAACATGTTTCTTTGTCTTTCTGAGGATGCATTGTTGTTAATTCAGTACCTGTTTTGATGTAATGTTGATAAAGTGATGAAAAATACGATCGTGAGTCCGTATATTGTGTTTTATTTTGAAATTTTGAAATTACCGGATGCTCTGTGCGTTTCCTTGTCTGACTTCCTATCTGGGCTGTCATATTCTGTCCAGCTTGACACGTGCCTGCAGCGTACTCCGGCGAAAATAGACTTGCTGCGTATTTGAAACGGAGCAGAGCGTAGTGCCGTTGGTGGCACGCGCCAGAGACGGACCGCAGCACGCGCTGTGTGAACACAATGATTGACTATAGAGTGGAAGCTAAGTACAACGTAGTGCGCGGCGCTGACGGACCAGAGCGCGAATTGGCAGTAAGGAGAAAGGTGGCATTTCACTCCCGAATATCAGAAACTACTATAGAGCTGCACAACTAAAAACCCTGGTTGAGATATGTAATCCATCCTATAAAGCACGGTGGAAAGAAATAGAATGCCTGTTATCGAGTGATATTCTCCTGCAAGCTGCTATTGGGGACAGTGCTTTAATTAAACACATAAAAGAGGCCAATCCTTGGATAGTCTTCTCTTAAACCCTGGTTTCATGTGATGACAGTACATCGAGCCAAGGGACCATTCGAGCTGTTGAGATGGATAGCCTATGATTCCAATTTCATACCTAATAAGACTGACATAACATTAAAAAAATGGGCGGATAACGGCCTGGTAAAATTCAGCAATCTCTATATAAACGGCAGCTTTAAGAGTTTTCAGGAGCTTAAAGATCATCATGGCCTAACAAACAGACTTTTACAGGTTTCTACAACTTAGACATTATACTGATAAATTAATAAAAATGGATGACTTAGTCAATATTAATGCCATATTGAAGGTTTTCTTAAAGGCATATGACTCAGATCCAGGCCTTAGAAACATCTCTAAGTTGTACAATGGTCTAAATGAGCTAGATGGGGACGACACGACTTAAGTAAAGGAAAAATGGGAAAAGGCAGGAAATCTTACATTACATTCTGAAGTATCGGAGAAACTCCACAAAAAACAATGGAAAAGTACATCTGCCCTGTCCTGGAGAGAGTTCGGAAGGAAAAATTTGATAAGTTTCTTTAAAACGCCTGCACAAAATAATTTTGTTAACAAAAACACATCCTGTTGGAGGTCTTGTGGGGAGAAAAAGGCAAACCACGACCACGTATTCTGGCAATGCCCTTTGCTCCAGAATTACTGGATTCAAGTTAAAAACGTTATGGAAAAGGTGCTGAAAGTGCAGATCCCGTTCAATTTTGCAACGCTCTATCTAGGTCTGAAATCAGACAACATTGAGGGCTTTTCCAAAAAATACTTGTTTAATATTCTACTGATATCAAGCAATTAAGCTCTCACCAGAAAATGGATGTCAACATACGCCCTCACGGTTGAGAACTGGATCGATGTAATTCATAATATTTTCGTGATGGAGAAACTCACATTTATTTTACGACTTGAACAACAGAAGTTTAAACGTGGTTGGACACCTTGGACCACTTATACATCCTTATTAAATCCTACTACAACCAATCTCAAAATATGGACCTAATACACCTCTTCCCCCTAAGTGCTTACTAGTTTTTCGTTTTGTTTTTATTTTTTGAGCAACTAAATTGTATACTTTTACTCACAATGGCTTTGCCAAGCTTTGAATTTCCTTTTACAAATTGATTATTTGTCTTACCACTATTACCACCTCATTTTGAATGTTTAGACAACTGTGACTTATACCTGTTTTATGTATCTCTTTACTTTCTGAAAAACCTTTGTAACTTTCACTAGCTGCAAAACATGTTTAAATTTTGCTCTAAATAAAAATGTAAATAAAAAATAAAGCTAAAAAGAAACAGCTGCTCCTCGTTGGATGGATTCACTAATATAAAATCCTAAGCTAACAAGTTTCTTAACATTATTAATATTTTCTATAGAAAACTTTTCTAAAAGGTATCTAGCAAATTTAGGATGAAGCTAAAGTTAGGTTTATGCTGTAGCTAGTTGCCAAGAATGTTGAAGCTAATCGTCTTAAAGTTAACCAATTGAAGCTCAAACGTTTATAAAACACATGCAGGTATCAAGCTAACGTAGAACAAAACAGTAAAGCAAAGTTAAAGTCAAATCTAAAGGCTATACAGTTAAAGCTTATACTCCACAATCAGTGTACATCTTCTTAGACTTTACTTTAAACTTTCTTGATCAATACCTTATAAGTATGGCTGTATACTTTATAATTGTTATGGTAAAGGTAAAGACGATTGAGGAAAAATTAGACACAAGCTCTGTGCTTTGAAAACAACTTTGAGTACATCTTCTACTGCTCATTCAGCTTGTTAGTTATTCTAGATTAAAATCCAAGTCTGAGATATTTGGATAAACACCAGTAGCTAGCTTAGCACTGATTTGCAAGACAGTCTTCTTCAATGTGTGAGCACCTGGTCAGACTACTGTTAAATAAAAAGACAATGCTCTGGGATCGGTTACTTCCAACAAAATGTTTTTTTTTTTTAAATTCAAAGAATGCAGCACCTGAACACAACATAAGCCCCTTTCACACATGCACTATTTCTAGAAAATTCCAGGACCGCCCGCCCCTGACATTTTCCAGTTTCCCAGAGTGGAAGTTCTTCCCTATTGAACTGAAGGAGGTGGGGGTCTCAAGGGGCAAGTAAAACATTTAAAGGAAGCGGTGGAAGTCACATTGAGAGTCTTTTGCGATGACCGTTTTTTCCTTGATAGGAATGCTACAGATAACTGGAAAATTGAAAGCCGCCTTGCATGCACGAAGACCCTACCAGTTTGCCGAATTGTCGCGTGATGTGAACATCATCAATTTTCCTGCATACCTACTGTCTTCACACTTTGTCTAAGCCTGACTTCTTAAAGACTTTCCAATTGGGGGGCTGGCAAAAATGCTTTTGGTTAAAATCGAGGTGAAGTGTTCGGCTGTTTGTGACGCACATGCAGCTCACCTGGAACGTTTCCAGACATTCTTAGGAGTACAGTGAGTGTGTGAGTTTCTTGTGAATTACAGGAATTTTTAGAGTAGCGTTTTCTGGCACAAATTCACCTACATCAACAGTGCATGGAGAAAGAGGTCAAAAAGCTCCAGTCACGCTCATACTGTACACTTGTATATTCAAGAACAACTTTATTCAACCGACGTGTTTCGCCTTGTGGCCTTCATTGATGACCCTGATGAAGGCAACAATCTGAAAGGTGTCGGTCTAATAAAGTGTTCCTGTAATTCACAAGACACTCACTGTACTACAGGATCACTGTCCCTTAGTAGTCTTATTTCCCTCAGTGGGAAAAAAACGGGATTTAACTGAGCTACTGAGAGATAACCACCTGTTGCAGGGTGAGGTGAGCTGGCTGTCGAGATGCCTCCCTCACTGGTCGCACTGGGATTAGAGGTTGACACACTGCCTTCACTGGTCACACTGGAGGAAGTGGCCGAGATGGTGCTTTGGCCAGTTGTGGCAGGGTTGGTGGTTGGCACGGTATCTTCAGTGGTCTGGCTGTTTGTGGTTGATTCCCCTACAGATGGCGTGGCCGTACTGTCTGTAGTGCTCAGAGGTAAACTGGAGGTGGTGAGACCTGGGAGTACGACAAACTTTGTAACCTGCAATTTCAAATATTCCGTGCACACTGCGTTCTGTCAGTGTTGTGCACTACGGTGCTGTTAGCTCCAGCTCTAGTTAATGATTGTGTTTCCACAGCACACGCCGAGGTCCGTATCCATCTCTTTTTGACGAAGCCTGCTGCAAGCCCACTTCAAGCTCAACAGAATAGATTGACCCCACAGGAAGTCAGATAGGGGAACGCAGAGTAAATTTCAAAATAAAACACAATAAGTATTTTCCATCACTTTATTATCATTACGTCAAAACAGGCACAGAAGAATCAGCAATTCAACCAGAAAGACAAAGCAACATGTTGTTTGCACGTTGTTCTGTGTATCGCTGCTCATGGCTGCGCTCCCCTGTCGTCACAGGAAGAAACGGACTCAGTGGGGCAGGGCGCACACCGACAGAGCAAAACCGAGCCGCTGACAGAACACAGCACGCACGGACTGTGTGGAAATAGCAGGTAAGGCTGATTCGGAAGTGTTATTAAGTTATTCCTACGAACTCGACTGCTAGTATTTTAAAAACACTTGTCCTATAGCTAAACCTTAAGCTGGTCTACAGTGCGCACCTCAGTGTTTTTTGTGTGCTTTAGTGTAATGAATCTACTTTTTGATGAGCATTGTCAGTCTTCCACATGTCATCCCTGAATTATAAATGTCATCACTTATAGTTAATGTACAAACTGCAAACTCACAGTTGATAAATGAGGCATCTGGATAGCTCTTAAAAATTTACCAGGAACTACACATGTTCTCCTTTTCTCTAGTTTTATACGTGCGGCCTGTACGTATATTTGCTCAGTAGAAATCGACAGCTTCAGGCTGTGCACAAATCGCTCGCATGAGAGATGCACAAGCACTCACCTGGAGATTCTGTGGTGAAAAGGCTGCTAATGCATAATGTTTTGAACATCTGCACTAAGACTATGATTTTATTTATTTTTTCTCCGCAAAGAAAATCACCAAGGCCACTCTCTTCACAAAGTCGAACCCCCTCACTTACAGAAGAATTAAACATCAGAAATAACAGCTGGGATTCAAAGTTGGAAAAACAAACAAAAAAACAACAACAGCATTTCCTGTGTTTTTCTTTGCTGTCCAGAATTAAAAACTGGATTAAAAAAAAGATTTTTGGAAGTCTGAAAATGGCACAAGATGGCCTGAAAAGTTGAACTCTTATTTCTGTGTATCCATTAAAATAGACCAACCACAGGACTGTGTTATAGTGTGCGACACAATACACAGAAAAAAATCGAAATAACAGGGAATATTCAGCCTCTTATTCCTCATACAACGGATGAAGCAGTACCAACAATGCTACCAAGTTGCTACATGCACACCTTGGTTCAAATTACCGTACATTGTCTACTTGTATAAAAAAATTCCTGACCATAGGAAGGTTTTAGCTCGGTACATTTCAATTTCTAGCCGAGAAATAGTGTATTGTATACAGTTTCTTCCTACCTGATTTCACCTCCACTGACAGCTGAGCTACAGCTGTCTCGTCATTAGATGTATCTGTAGCCACGATCTGGGAATGAGACATGAAGTTGAGTGTTTTGTAAGAAAATAAGAAAACGACTTAAGGTTTCCTAGATTGGTAACTCACCTGCAGAGACAATGTGGAGTCTGCGAGCTGCTTAGTCATGAATAAATATCCGTTAATAACCGAGAAATCAGTGCTGCCAGTTATGGAGTAGGTGATGTAGGGATTTAGACCCTGTGGGACCAGGAATACAAAGGTTAGTATTCATTCATAGAGCTTCATTCCTATCTTTATTCAGAAGAAACATTTTCCCAAAACCTCTACCCTCGCTTTAAGAACAGACCCTGCTTGTGCTTACATTTGCTCTGCTTGTGCTCAACCTGGATGCTTTCACTGATTTCCTGCACTACTGCTTCAGACTTTTTCCTCACACTCAGACTGCTTCCGTATGCTCTTGAAACATTTGCTGCTAGATTCCTGACATGCTCATGTAATTGCCTTTCTGTAAGTGCAAGCTTGCAGGGTTGAGCAAAAGCAGAACACCTTTAAGCACAAGCAGCAGCTATTTGAGTGGGATAGCAGTGTTGGACTTGACTGGTCTAGATTCAAAATTCGGAGTCCAACCATTCCGAGACCGAGACAAGACCGAGTAAAAATGCTTTTGAGACTTTTAAAAAGACCTTTTCTGAGTACTACAACACTAGCCACTCCATTGCATTAGAGGCATTTTAACTTGATTCAGTACACGTTTGCATCTCAGACTCGAAATAACCCCTTTTCTGTGCAATGTTTAACTTTTTTCAATTTTTCAGTGTTTCCGCTCAGAAGTGCACAGAGTCTGGAATCAGTGCTTTACCCCAGTGGCAATGTAGTCATCGTCTGTGGCGAGGATGCGCAGCAGATTGTCTGTGTTGCTGGAGTCCATCGCCATGGCCCCGACTGAAGAGACGACAGCTTCATACTGAGGCCTTTGAAACCGTGGAACGTGGAGACTCTTCACCTGAACACTTATTGTGACAGAAGTGGTCGCAAACTGAAATCTGTTCGTCTTCTGGGCAGCCTAAAAGAGAAACAAAATGGATAACAGCTTTATAAACATATAACTGTCAAAATGTGTTACCACAGAGCTCAGGTTTGGTGATTTGAAGTTGTAAGGTAGGTAGCTCACTAAACAAACAAATGATTTCTCAACTGAACCACTCTATTTGATTTTAGATCAATTTTAGCCTTCTATTATGGTTAAAAAACTGCAGATGAAAAGATGCGATTAAAAATTTGTCACAACTCTATTAAAGACAGGGTTGGTAATTTCCTTTTTGGTTGAAATTGTCTTTAGGTCCTGAAAGAAATTAATAACTCATGTCCCCCTAAAAAGGAACAAAGAAAATCTGTCATCTGTAGCAGTTGTAAGCCTGTAAAAACTTCAACCAATGTCTGCCACGAGGTACCAATCTGATGAACCAATCAGACGCCCAATTGTGGAAAAACGTGCGCTAAAGTGCCCGCTTGAGAGCCAAAACGCGTTAGAATACAGGAAATGGCATCTACTTAATTGAAAATGTTCTGGGGGAGGACACCCAGACCCCCTAGGTCTCCTATGTCTCTGTCTGTTCTTCACAGTCCAACGTTGAATCTACACAGTTCTCGTGGATGCTGATCCTAACTACAAACTAACTTGAGTAGTCTGTCCAGTTAGTCTGTTTTAAAGCTATATAATGTGCCATTTGTATAACATATAAACATGTCTAAAGTGCCCTCGAAAACATGCAGAATTTAGCGCCCTCTTCAATGGCGAGAACGCGCTGTATGTGCCCTTTTTTTTCTTTTCGCCCCTGCCCTTCAAAAAGTCTGTGCACGCCACTGGTTGTCAGTGGTAACTATTCAAAGATAGCTTGTTCAAAGATGTTTAAGCATCTAGGTAAAAGCTGAGCTTCATTCTGTTGATTGTTTGTCTTGGATTTATGTCATAACTGTGTCTCTGTCGTCCCAGTTACACCAAATCCAAGACTGTTTGTCGCGGCTTGACACAGAAACTAAGGGTATGGAATACTAAAAACACAAAGAAAAGATCATGTGAACACATTGGATCAGCTCAAGTGAAGAGTTTGTTTTTACCAGCACAGTCAGACTGATTGTCCCCACCACGTCGGTCGGCTTCAGCATGGTGATGAGTCCTGTGTTTAAGTCTATCGCAAATAGACCGCCACCATCTTCTCCTAAAACACACAAACACACACACGCACAGGTTGAACTGGTACCACCTGCCTATAACCAACAACTTATTTCTGTAACACAAAACCACTAACCGCTGTTGATTCATTACAATAGGAGATACTTACCGCTCACAAAGGAATATGTTATCTCCTCATTTATCCCAGAGTCTCCATCGATGGCCTTAACTGGTCCTGGTTTAAGGGGCAACGCACCACTCTGCAGAGGAGAAAACACTTTATCATGATTATCATGACGTGTGGACAATGAGGAAAAGTGTCCTTTAGAAAGAGAGGGAAAAAGTAGAAGGCAGACTCTAAAGGCTGTCTTTAAGAGTCAGACTTTTAACAGTTTCTCCAACGCTGCAGCAGCATCCTGCAATTTATGGAAACTCCTGAAACTCTCAATACCACAATCATGGATACTTTTTGCAGTGTTTAGTCTGTAATCCTTTTTCACATCACAGTTCAGAATAAACTGTAAAAAAAAAAAAGTGTTACCACAATGGAAGCATCACCTCTTGTTCATTTAAGTCAACCCTCCCGGTGTAGCCTTCGCTCTGGCAGATCAGAGTCCCGTCCATGTTGTGCGTGGTGCATGGCTGGAACCACGGCGGTCTGTTATCCACATCCGTGATGGCAACATTGATGGTGGTGGTGGCAGTGTGAGAAACACCGCCACTTCCTCCTGTCAACGGTGTGTCCTTAAAAAATTGAATAAAAACGTATCACAAATGATATCGTATGACCCAAATGTTTCAAGTTAAAGGAGCAGTATGCAACTCTGACACCTAATGTTTATTGGTACTGCAGTCCAAATTAAAAACATGGTAGAGAGCTGTCTCCCCCGCCCCCTCCTCTCTAGAGTCGATGCTAACGCAGGTTGCCATGTGGTGGACACTGAAGCTTCAGTGTTTAGCCAGCTCTGCATCGGTCTGTAAACCTTTCTGCGTTCTAACCTCTCTCCAAAAGCATCTCCAATATTGATCCTAGTTTGAGCACGTTTCTGCTCGTGGAGCTTATTAGAAACATGCAGAGGCTTTTTAGGTCGGGTACAATCACTTCTATCTGAACCAGTTCTCTTCCGTCGCTGCAACAGCTGTTGGTTTGACCTGATAACTGGTCTCATATCTGGCAAATCGAGGGGCGTCCAAAACGGCCATGTGGAGGTGCCTTAAAACCGCCTACCATCTCTGGTCCAAACAAATACAGAGCATTCAGGACCAGAATCTAAAGTTAGAAGGAGGACATACTGGCTGATGCATTGTTGTCAGAGAAGCCAGCACTTCAACATGTTTCCTTAATGTCTGATCATATAGTAAGGACACATATTGCTCCTTTAACTTGCCTTTTATCAAAGTTAGACAGAACTTCTACTTAACAAGCCATATGCACTTATGCACTCTGAGTTATGTTTATGCATTTTATTCAAATATAATTTGCCTCTAATTCACACATTGATGGCAGCAAGATAGGATGTAAGCAACACTAGATCAAAAGCAAATATATGGATAGGTGGAACCAAGGTGGACTGAGGCCTGGGATTACTGAACAACCTGTTAAATCGGCTTAGTTCATGACCATGTTCATTTAATGTCTGACTTTCAGAGTCTGAAAGAAACACACAAGTTAGAAAAAAGGAACTCAGTACTCACCTGGGCTCTTAATACCAGCTGGACATTTTTGACTTTGTCGTATTCCAGAGGTGTCTCAACGAGGAGAACAGCGCTTCTAGGAGACTCGAGTTTGAATGCATTCTGCAGGAGTCAAAATCAAACAGGAGGAAAATTAAACTGTTTAGATCTGACTTTAATCGAGCATATATTATTGAAAAGCCAACAGGGTACCCCGTTACACAGCCAATACGTTCTCAGGTGCGCACGGTTGCAGGAACATAACATGAAAGATGAATAAAAACTCTAGGGCCCACTGAAAGTAACTTTACTGTATTATAATCTTGAACTGCCTCAGTCCGTCTGCTGTGTGAACAATGGACATAGGCTCCGTGATGTCTGCTTTTGAAACCTCAAGTTTTAGCATTTTTGCCTTTGTCCTCTTGTTTTTTTTATGTTTCTATCCTGGCTGTCACCACACCTTGATAGCGACTTGTTCGTAAGTGGTATCAATGCCCTAAAGTAACATCTGTTAATCTCTAACTGGGACCAAAGCTTCCAAAGCAATAACATGTTGCTGTATCATAAAAGACTTGAAGCCAATGACTGAGACCATAACCTCATGAGGAAAGATTTTTACTCCTAACTGGATTCATAAAATCAAACTTCTTTTTGCAAACAGGGGAGTATAAATATAGGCAAATCTGTGTTATATTATTTGTATGCATGAAGGAAAATCATGTCCGGCATGAATTTTGAAGACGATGATTTTGTGCTCTTTCGATGGCCATTTTTTTCTCTTCTGTATGAACTTCGTTAACTATAGGAGCTGGTCTTGCTGCTTGTCTTTACTTTGTTATATTGTACTGTGTATAAGTGTGTATGACTGTATGTGTGTTGGACCCCAGGAAGACTAGCCAATGCATATACTGGTGCTAATGGGGATCCTAATAAAGAAAGAAAGAAAGCCCCGCCTGGCTTTTAGATAAATATGAGGGTGAGGGCTCTTCCGAGAGGCTAAATCCATTCTTTTAACCGTATGATTTCTGTTCTGGCAGTTATCTATAAATGGTAAGAAAATATGAGGGTCAAACTAAATAAATGGATTCAACATTAAAAAATCAACATGAGGTCTTACCGACTCCGACGTCAGTGAGTAGAAGATATCTGAAGTTTCGTCTAAATCTGTGGCAGGGAAGCTGCCCACTGATTTGCCGACAGGAGACATCTGGGACAAAACAGTACAGTCAGTGTCTGGGACTGAACTCAAAGAAAAATATACTAAAAAACACTGTTTGGTTTAAGGCGTTTGATCAACTCTCACCTCTTCGACGCTGATATTGTAGGGGTTCTTAGTAAAGGTTGGAGGATTATCATTCACATCCTCCAAAATTACAACAATGACGAGGTCCAACTGGAAACCAAGAGACACATATTTTGTTATTGACTTCATTATATTGTTTATAATATATTATGCCTTATTACAACAATATGTTAATTATTTTGTTGAAAGATATCAAGAACTAGAGATGAGTCAAACACTGACATCCGACTCTGATCTGCAATAAGGGCCAAACTGTGACACCAGTCTGTATAACATGTTCAAATGTGTACAAACCCTTAGCTTTTCCAGCCTGCTTTAAAAACCTTTGAATTCTCCTCCAGAACCTGTTAAACATCTTTAAGCCTTTGACGAACTACTTGACAAACCTTTACGACCTTCCCATGCCTTTGAGAAAAAAACGTTTCTTTCACATCCTTTACGAAGAACCCGTACAAGATTTCTAACCTCCAGGTTATCCTCCTCCCAATGCATTCTTCTTGGCCGTTCTTAAGCTAGCTCAGCTCACTTTAGCGTGTGAATGACTCGGCTCATGCTCAATGAGAACACATGTATATGCACAAGGTAGGCAGGTGAACAAGCAGGTAAGTAAATGGTAAATGGACTTTTCTAGTCTTCAGACTGCTCAAAGCTCTTTTACAGCTCAGGTCACACCTACACTTTCACACACTGATGGCAGAGGCTGCTATGTGAAGTGACCATCATGAGTAAGTAATCCCATTCATACTCTGCTGACAAAGCAGCGGGAGCAATTTTGGGTTAAGTGTCTTGCTGAAGGACACATCAGACATGTTGCTGCAGGAGCTGGGGATTGAACCCTCAAACTTCTGCTTGAGGAACCACAGACTCTACCAACTGAGCCACACACCCAGCCTGTGGCACCTTTCCCGCATGTCATTCCCCTCTCTCTCCCTGATTTCTGACTCTATCCACTGTCCTATCTCTCCATTAAATATTCAATATTGGTTTTCTGCCCACAGAGATTTCTTCAAATTCTCTGAATCTTTGACTGATAAAACGTAGACGACAAAATTCCAGATTCTTTGAAATTTTATGTTAGAAACATGATTCTTCTGCTAGCAAATCCCCTCCCATCAGTATTTTGACCAATCATGTTACTTCCCTGTTGCCGGTAAACCTTATTAACTGGGAGATGCACCACCAGGTGTTTTCTTTTTTAAACATTATTTACAGTCTTTTGATGCTACTATCATAACTTTTTAAATTGTGACGCTGCCATAAAATCCAAAATGGGCATATAGTATTCCAAAACAATTTAATGTCTCAGTTTCATAATTTTGATATGTTGATATGTTTGAAATAAATACGGGATGTCAGTGTTTGAGAAGCGTCACATTTTTTTTTACAAAATGGGGTTGTAAATAGTTTAAATATTATAAAAGCTTAAAAAACAGATTTTAGAAATCTCTAATGTCTCAAATCTCCTCAACATTAGGGGATGGTTTTACCTTAATGCCGGAGGCAGGTTCAGTGCAGGTGATGGAGGCTGTATGAAGTTTTGTTTCCGTCTGCGAACAAAACAAACGTCATGCAAAACAGCCGGGTATTTTAACAGAATACATCAACTGAGTTAGACATATTCTACCATACCTCAAGGTCAAACATCCTATTGGATTTCAACTTGTTTCCTTCGAGCCTGAATGGGTTGGCAGGGGCTGGAGCGGTGAAAGTGAGGGTTACCTCTGGTTGGACAGTGATTGTCACAACATCGACACCAGCCGGCTGGTTTTCTTCAAAATTCACACTTAGAGGAGCAGAACAAACTGGGGAGAGAAGAACACAGGTGTACAGTTAAAGAGACAGTATCCATATTACTCTATTGTTATATCCATTTACTGTAGGGTGACCATACGACCCGATTTGACCAGGACTGTCATATTTTCAAGCTCCCTGTCCCGAAGTCCCTACAAATATCTATAAAACACTAATATGTCCTGATTTGGAAGAGTCCATGTCCCGGTTTTAACCAGCCAAAACAGTACACCATGTGTGAAAAACTGATTTGTCCGTATATACATCAATCTGTGTGGTGCCAAGGTTGTTGCTGTTTTGACCAATAGAAGAACATCAACAATGCACCCCGAGTCAAAGTTCAACACTGATTAATGTGTCAATCAATCTCAGGGTTGCGTCTGTTGTTTTGTTATCCTAGCTTATGCTAACAGGATGTGCTGCGTAACTACAGAGTTACAACTTCCCAAAGGCCATCTTGGAAAACCCTCAGCACCCCCTACATACAGAGTTTAGATGTCTGCCGACAGGTCTGAGGTTCACTTATGTTAGGAGGGCCAAATCAAACAGATACCTGAGGTTGTTTGTCCCTTCAGCTGTTGGGTTTTTAAATAAGCTGTAGGCATTGTTGCCTCTACACTTTTACTATGCACTGTTGGTTTTTGTGTCCCTTATCTCACTCACGTCCATCATGATGATTTCCATGGTAGTTGTGTTTAATATATATGTATTTATTTATGTCATTTTGATGTTTTTTTTAAGGATATACTGCCTGTATGGACCTCTGTTGCAAACCAAATTGCCCCTCGGGCACAATAAAGATTTTCCAAATCCTCGAAAAGTAGCAAGAAATGAATATGTTGCGTTCTGCACACACTGAAAGTGTCAATTTTCAGTCACCCATGGTGGAAATATGGGCATTCAAAGCCATATTAAAACCAACAAACACAAGCGGTGGCTACAGGCTGGAAGTTGCCTTGCTAAGATCTACTTCAGTGAGGAAAACGCTGGTGACAACCAACTTAAACGGGCTGCTCAGGAGGAAACCTTGTGTGACCAGTGCTAGGTATTGATCTGGTAATAGATAAATGAATATGCTCTATTACACCAATGCAGTCCTTGTGTTTTGTGTTTACTGGTGTTATATTTTTCAAATAAAGTTTTGGATGATCTTGGGAGACATTTTTCCTATGCTCCTTTGTGCAAAATCGAGTGGAGGGGGATTGGAGGTGTGTCACTGGAGGAGAGCGGAGGCTTCAGAATAGCGGAGGTGTCGTCAAACAGAAGTTTGTTGTGGTTTAAGCTGGTGCTCAAGGGCGACATCTACTGGATCAAAAGACGCACATTCTTCCTTTAAATGATTACCATTCCTTGACTGATTCGTGTTCAAAAGACATCCATGCACAAATTAATTTAAAAAAAGCCTTAGTTGAAATAAAACATTTGAAACATCAGCACTCATAGTAAATGACTCCGACCCTCACATTTCTGGCCTCAGCATACATATCGATTTTTCTTCCCGGTTCAGTTACATGAGCTCGTCCTCTGGTTTTATTCCAAGTCTACATAGTTTTCCTTCATCAACACATCGTGTACTAGTTTAAACTGGTTTTCGGTACCATATGTACCAATAAGCACACTGTTATAATAATAATAATAATATATTGTTTTTTTATAGCGCTTTTCTAGGAACCCAAAGACGCTTTGACAAAATATAAAACCATAAAACAAAACAAAAAACGATGAGGACAAAATGCTTATCAAGCACACTGTTTTCTAAAAAAGTGTCACAGTCGTTTAGATTAAACGAACATGCCTCAGCCGGCAGATTTCAGTACTCACTCTGGGCCTCAGTGGACGTTTGGAGCAGAATCAGAAGTAAAAAGCTGAAACACGTCCTCACAGTGAATTGTGAATAAATCCCCTCCATGTCTCCGACTGTAATGTCTGAACTGATCGTCCTCTGTCTCTGTGTTTTCTGCTTATCTGCTCGGCTTTATTGCTGCAGTGGACTTTTCCCCGTCATAAAAACATAACACACGTCTGTTTGCTGGGAAGTCATTTAAGACCCTTTTTTTCTTGTACTAATTGTCCTTAATTTGACCGGTTTGACTTGAAGCAGGTCCTGGTTTAATGATTACAGAAGTAGAGAGTATTAATAACAGCTGTAATTTAGTTTTCTATCGATTAGTATTGTGTATAAGCACAACCTCGACGATCCTCCCCTCCCACTCTGCTTTTATCAAGAGTTTCCTGGTTTCCAACAACATGGACAACATGGCAACAACACAGGACAAACAAAACACAAAGACACAGATTTAAAACATTTAAAATATGTATATTATAGGTGGGAGGAAAGATTCCCAAGGGGTTCACGTTTGATAAAAATAATAAGGTATCATCTGCATACAGACATTTCATTTGTTTCTCTGTTAATGTAGGATCGTTCTGGACAATCAAACTCCCACACATAGAGCATAAATACAACTTGGCATTTACATGTAACATATAAACAATGTAATACTACTGTTTACCAGGACAAAGGTGCACATCATAATTACTTTTAAAATCCTGTCTTTTGGTGTAATTCATTGCCATTATACTGGAGATACTGAGCTCATTTGTTTTATTAAGCCAGACCATTGTTGGCATATAAAGTTATATAGGTTTACATAATTAAGCTGGTGATGTCATTTTGGAGTCTGAGCAGGGAGGAAATTCTGGTGGAGCCGAAGTATCTGCTTATCAAAGTACATATTTAATTTACAGATAAAAAATCCAAGAGCCCTCTGGTGGTAACAGTCAGAGGTGCTGTTTGTCAATAGGCAAGGCAGGCGACTGCTTGGGGCCCAAGTCCAGTAGGGGGCCCCCAGGGGCTGACAAACTTTAAAGCACAGCAGGGGTTGTAAACCTCCCTAAGAGGGCCATATCCGACAGCACTCACTGTCATTGTGCTGATAAGCGTCGCACGCATTTTTGCTTTGGAAATCAAAGTTTGTCATTGAAGGAAAAATTAAGAGGAATTATCCGCCTGGGAGTGAAAGAAGAACGAGAGAAAGAGGAAGTCAAGAGTCGGGAAACTGGCAGACATAATGGTGATGAATGTTGGTTGGAGGGACCCCCAGTGAATTTTTGCCTAGGGCTCCAACAGACTTTAGAATCATCACAGGGTACAGTCCACAGCAGAACAGATTCTTGTGTGTGTGTGAAGCAGACACTCATGGTCATGCAAAGTTCAATAACTATTGTGTTTGTTACATTTCTTCTCACTGTTCCTCCTCTACTCTGATATTAAGCTGCCAACAGCGCTGCAGGAGCCGCATTTGTCAACAGAGCTGTTAATCATGGCGATAATCTCCTTTATTTAGCATCAAATCACAAATTAAAACTTGGAAAAGTGAATACATGGGCATAAATCGGCATAATAAAAACTATAATGACAGAAACAATATATGAGTTAAAATGTATTTGACTTGTGTTTTTATTTTACAGTTAACATTTGTTAACATTGAGGAGGCGGAGCTTATTATCTATAGTTAGCGCACACTCACACTAGGCAAGCGAGCATTCCCCAGCACGCGTCATCCTCAAAGTCCAGTTAGTTTGACTAGTGTGAGTGCTCCGCTCCAAGCTCAAGATCGGTACACTTCCTTGGCGTAGTGGTGTGCTTCGGCATGGCACAGTTCATGCACATGCACACGCAGGGGTAACAACATAGATTCATGTCCTTCATTATGGGGAAATCCCAGAGTTTCCTGGCTGTATCTGACTGTAATGACTTTAAAAAAAAGCCACAAGTCAGTAGCTGTCTTGTTCTTTGTGTTTTTCTCTGATGTCAGGACGTGGACTCAATCACGTGTCACTTTTATTTTCTTTTTTTGTCCGTCTGTGTTGTAAACAGTACAGGGCAACAGTCGGGGGAGCTAAATGTTTTGATTCTCTTTCAGGGGCTGCCTGCCCTAGCCTCCAATGTCCCTGGAGCTTTAGAAAGTACTGCCCCCCCAGGGTAGGGTATCTTTTATAAATACTGTAAAACTCTACGTCATGTAAATTAACCCATCAGTCACATAATTACATTTTTTTATTATCATGTTTACTTCAGCATCTTTAGAACAACTCACCACTGCAATATTATCTAATTAAGTCTTATTAATCTTTGATTATTTTGTGTTTATTGTGAACTAAATTTAGACAATAGGTCCTGAGGTCGAAATGCACATAGTTTCTCAAAAGGTCCCTCGCTCTGGGGGAAAGTTCCTCCGTTTGCGAAGGGGCTATTTTTTTTGTCTATTTTTGTTTCTAGAGATCGGGAAAAAAGTCAGGATGGGATATACACAATTTCCCAGTTTGGGATCAATAAAGTAAATCTATGTCTATGTCTATATTTTCTTTTCGATTTATTGTATGTGTATAGTTTTAATTCTGCTCTCTTTTACTCGATGAAGATGTCTCATTAGCCAGTTGTGTAGCCTACGACACAAAAACAAAATAAACTGGATAATAAACTGTGATCAATGCTCCATTCATTCATGAAATACACGACACAACTTGAGTACTTTCCAAAACATATTTTAATGACAAAGATATCTGTTTTTCTTCATTACATATTAAAACAGCTGCATTTATTCTTTATTCAGAACATCAGAGACAAGGGGGCCCTCCCTAAACGAGCTCTCCTCTCTGTTCTGTCACCGTGGAGCGCCCTCTACAGGTCGTTCGGCCAGTTGTTGAAGACAGACGGACACATGTACTGTTTCAGCAGCAGGTTCACTTTCTCCAAGTCTCCTCCCACCCCGCTGAGGACGAAAACACACAAAGTGAGGTACCAAAAATCCGCTTCTGTGTCTGCATACTTATGACGGCAGCAGAATGATCCTTTAACACTGATGTGGCCGAAGTCTCTCACCTCTTCTTGACGCTCTGTACGCGGCGCAGGAAGGCGCAGATGGAGCTGTGTTTCGCTTTAGATCGCAGGAACTCTGCGTATCTGTTGGAGAACTCGATGTCTCCCAGCTGCCTCCTGCGCTCCAGACCTGGCGACAGCAGCTGCCTGAAACACGCGTAACGATTATACCGATTTATACCAGCATGCAAACACATTATCTGGTTTTTTATTCACCTCACAATGTAGCCGACTTTACAGGGTTAACTTGAAAATCCCAAGCACCACGTGAAAATGAATATTTATTGTCTCACCAAAAAGATTGTCAGTTTTATTGTTTTGCTTGGGTTTTAACACAGTGGAGTTTAAACTCACCTGAGTCTCGCCTCGAGCAGAGCGTCGGCCGAGTTCACCTCGGACAGAGACCACGGTGCGTTCAGGGGTTTGATCTGAGTCAGGAAACTCTCCAGCTCATCTTCTTCCCTGTGGTTACACGACAGAAAGAGAAAACATTCAAACAAACATAAAGAACAATTTCAAAGATTAACAATTATTATTTTGTTACTCAACAGGAGAATTAAACAAGGTTGTATCTTTACTTAGCAGTTTAATGCAAATAACTTTGGTTTATGGTAGTTTTTTTTAAACATAAAGAGACATATTTGGATGATGTAGACCTGGTTTGTAGGTTACAAACGTTTAAGGAAGAATGTGCGTCTTTTTGAGCCAGTAGATATCACCCTTGAGCACCAGCATGAAACCAAAACAAACTTCTGTTTAGTGACACCTCCTCTATTCTGAATCCTCCGCTCTCCTCCAGCGACACACCTCCAACCCCTCTCCACTCACAGTCACTCAAAGGAGCTATCAGATGCAATGCTCCACATTTAAGCACCATGCTGGTGCTGCAATCACCTGTGTCCTGCATTGTTGTGTTAGCATGCTAATGTAAGCGCCCTTTAGTTAGCTCATAGCTTCACATTGCATGTAAATTGACACAGAATGACCGAGATCTAAAAACATTTACGAGACATTCAAATAATTAGTGAGTATGTTCTTCTTCTACTCTCTAGTTTTTGACTGAAACAGCTTTTATACACAAGGGGAGGAGCCGGCCGTCCCGTCCATGTAAACACGGCGCTGACAAGAACACAGCCAGCGGGACTCGAGCTTCTCACTCATTGTAGACACTCATGACTCAGAGACACATTTACACAGGATAGACTTGATCTCTGCTGTATTTATGTGTAAAATGTCCCACGTTCTTCCCTTAATCTTATTTTTCTTTCTTCAGTGTGTGTGTGTGTGTGTGTGTGTGTGTGTGTGTGTGTGTGTGTGTGTGTGTGTGTGTGTGTGTGTGTGTGTGTGTGTGTGTGTGTGTGTGTGTGTGTGTGTGTGTTCAGGTACCTGAGAGGAAGTGATGTGGCGAGATGGAGAAGGGCCAACAGCAGGAACATCTGAGTCACACTGATTGAAGGCATCATGATGAAGATGAGGATGATGGTTTCCAGACTCCTAATACTACATGTGCAAGAGCAATAAAATTAAATGTGGAAGCTCACAGAACAAAAATGACTGCAGCTAAACATGATTACAGTGATACTTAAAAACCCTGCAGACTTTCAAAGAAAGAAGAGCTGATGAAAGGGACCATTATTCATTTATAATATTTGGTTTCATAACGCACTTTTAATCTCGCAGAATCTTATTGTTTCTATATTGTGTAATTTACATTTTACTCTTGATCACCTTTTTTCTAAACATTTGAATGATAGTTTTTGTTCAATAACCTCCTATAATAAACCCTGAGGAGATCACGGACTCTTTTAGGCTTTACATACATTCTCAGAAAACAGTTTTTGAATATATATTTTTTTCTGATTACAAATTGGGTTGATATCAAAGAATTTGCACTTAAAAGACGCACCTGTGAGGAAACGATGATTGTGTGATAATTTCAATTAAGTGATGAAAACAGCAATGTTTTCATGTTTATGATTTCTGACGCTGATATTAAAGGTATACTTCACCCATTTGCATTAAGCTTTGTACCATTAGAAACCTGGTAGTATTTTTGAATGGTCGTGCATCCCGCCCTCATTTT